TCCTTACAAAGTGTACTTAAGTATAAGTGTATTTAAGTAGGTGAATATTTCTTTACCATTTCATATTGTTTTGCTTAGCCAAAATATTCCCATATCTATAGTTTTTCATTACGAGACATGTGCTTATCATACGTACTTTTCACGTCATTAGTGCCGTTGCATAATCGCAACGTCTGAATCACCTGAGTCGAGAATCAACTCTTCAATCAATTCAAATCAAAGTGAATTCGGTAAAGGTTAAAAAAAATTCAACTTACATGGTATCAAATATGTAAATCCATTTTATAAAGATATCTTTTAAATCTATTTAAATAAATAACAAATAAGTATTATATTTTTGGTTAGATAATATTGAACACAAACTTAGCAATATTAAAATTTGACATAAATAATACTCTAGAGATTACTGTTCATAATTTCAGCTCATATTAATATTAAAATTCATATCTCGACTACTTTGATCCGCCACAAAATAGAAGATATTTCTGATAGTCATGGCGAAGGAATGTTTAAATTTTATAATTCACATTATTTAACAGATTGAAATCGAATCGATTTAAGTATTTAAATAATTTACTTCATCAACTTATATATTCATAACGTATCTAAAAATATACAAGAATTTTGTTTTCTGAGGACATATTCGAGTTTGGTTTAACCATAATTTTTAAAACCCACAGATGAAATTTGCATATTTTTACTGTTTTAAGAAAAACTTCAATTAGCTACTTACTACCGTAAACATTTAACTTTCCTCAGTTGATGATATCTCGTACATTTTGTATCGTAAATTTATTTAAACACACCTCTAAAATTAATATACTGTAAAACATTATCACTAAAATAAATAATTTAAAATACATTGTAACATCTTGGTGTCGCCGGATCGTAATATTTTAGTTCACAGCAGGCCGATTTATTTCTTTTTTTCTCAAAACCCGTCCCGGTTCGTAATTTTTAAAATAAATTCCTTGAGATTTGCTACAATGAGTTTCATTTGCATATTGTTGGTGATGGAAATTCTGTTGGAGCTCCTAAACCAGAGTGTATTTATCATAATATTTTAAAGTGGAAGTTACTTATAATAATTTGTGTTAATATATTGGAAATATCTCATTCTATATATTTTGTATTTACCTTTATTGTGAAGTTACATTAATTTTAATTAAAAAGGAATCCTTTGAAAATTTGCCAGTTGATGGCCACACACCAGCTACTTCTTTCAAATATATTAAGGCAATTAAACTTGGTCCAAGTTAACATTTTTTCTTTGTCTCTGACACTTTAATGAGTACTTGGGGCTTCCGAATTAAGTTAATTTTATTGTGTACCTACTTCATTACTTACAAGTAACATCTATAATGTATTATAATAACATTTTTAACATTTAACTAGTTTTAAGCGACATCTTATGAATACTCACATGTATATGATGTCTCCTGAATGTATAAAATATTATGATGAAGAATTTTAATAAAGGCTAAGTTTTAAAGTAATATCCTTAAGTAGCTTAAGATTGAAAAGTTTTGGAACAAAATAAGGCAGTTACTGTTTATATTATATCATAACTACACTATAACATAACTTGACAACCTTAGCAGGTTGGAGACGTTACGGATCATATTGTTCTTTTATATGGACCGTGGAATTATTTATAAACTTTTAAAGCATTCATTAAAAATAAAAAAGGAACTCTTTTAATGATCACCCTTATAAGGTTGTAGAAGTATTTTTACAGGTGTTATTGTATAAATATAATGTAATGTGTCTGTAGTATATTAAAGCACTTATACCTGTGGTGGCTGGGATATCTACTAGGACCTATCGGCAAGTCACCCCGCCTTAATGAATGACCAAGTGATATGAAAACTTATTATTGTATTTCTGTCAGTCTAAAATCTTCAGTTATTAGTTTTATGGAAATATTTTATATTTTTTTAGGCCCTTACATAGAGAAGTGTGAAATTTATATGGATTATGTTAATACTAATGTCACCATACAATATTATACTTAGGATGATTTGAAAGTATATGAGCTCATTATTTCAATAACCATCAAAGGGGCCTGAGTTTGCTGTACTTAAGAACCACTACAAAGAGTCAAGTACAGTAGCTTTAGTACGAGTTTTATTTAATAAACAAACGCAGAGTTTAATCTGTTTTCATTATCTGTATAACGTATAAATGTGAAAAACGTCGGAGCTAAGTCAAAGGTCCAACCTCGTACTAATGTTATACTGTTCACATTTCAAATGCCTCCTTTTCATGTACATACGTCTGTGACTGAGTGTCCTTAATTAAGTGATACTCATGGTAGTGTACGTTTAAGGGTTCCTTATAGTGAAGTATATAATTACCACAGTCAAGTGTTTTACATATTAACTTAACTATCAGACTATTTATAGAGATGCGTTACGTTTTGAATATCCCTTAAATTTCAAGTTATAATGTTTATTTGTTCTTTGTCAAAGAAAGAAGGTTCTTGGCAAGTTGTTCGGAATTAAACTGAAATTAAAGATTTTTCTTGTTTCGTGATCTAGTGTCATGTCTCCAGAACGACTATTCAATAACTTCTAATCGTTTCATTTCGTGACTACTTTTAAATGTGATATTATATTTTTGGAATACATTTACTATTTTTATTGAAAATAATTCCAAATCAGTTAAATACAAGTTTTACATAGTTTAATATTTTTTTACTAAAAGTTTTTAATAAAATAAAACAGTGTTTTTGTAATATTTAAATTTATACACACATTAAGATTTCCAAATCGCTATCAAAAAGACTCTATATTTACTTCTTTTTATTAAATCTTTTTTTTTTTTTATGTGAAAGGTGGCAAACGAGCGGACGGCCCACTTGATGGTAGGTGGTTACCGTCGCCCATGGACATCCGCAACATGTTTGTTACGGATGTGTTGCCGCCCTTCATTGGGGAAAAGAAGGAGGAAAAGGTGGGAAAGGGAGGAAAAGGAAAGGGTGGGAAAAGGGAAAGGGCAACCGGCTCTCTCCCTCATCGGACGAATCGCAGCCATTAAAGGCTACTTCACGCCGATCTTCTGTGAGAGGGTGGTACTTCCCCGGTCGAGCCAGCCCATGTTCGAGCTGTAGTAACTGACCACAGCTAGGCTCTACCACCTAAGAAAATCTTACATACTATTTGCTTTTAAAAATACATTAAGAATTATGAATCTTTTATTATTAGTATGTACCACTTCGGTTCAAGTACGGTTTTGATTCTGAATTTTAATGAATGAAAAAACTTAATGTTTAGGCAGTTGGGACAGTGGGGTTCGGCAATACGAAGTTGATCGGGACTCAATTTCAGAAGTGGCTCTTATGTAGAGAAATCTAAATCAAACCTTGCTGTAAACCTGGTTTATTTTTCAGATTGTGAGGTATTCATACATCAAAGACACGAATGTACTTAGTAAAATGATGCTTAATATATGAGTTGAAAGCTTTAAGTCAACATTACATTTGGTTTATGACTAGTCTGAGGTAGTCACGTTTACACAAAGTAATATTTTAAAAGGCTCAAGAGTTAAATTTGTGAAAATGTAAAAAATGGTTTATTTAAATTTAAACCCTTCACAATCGCGGGGAAATTCTCTCGCATAAAGTTTAAGCAGAGTTCAACACGAGGCGAATAACTGAACTTTAAAATTTAAAACTTTGACTTCTTTCCGAAAAGGAATGTTTAAATAATATTGTTTCTCACACATTTCTACGGAAATGTTTATGATTTTAGCATTTTTTTAATAATTTAATTCTATTATCTTATTAAATATAAATGATAAACCATTAATTGAGTTACAGAAATGTTTTAGATCTTGAGAACCTAAATGAAGCCTAAAGTTGGATTAAAATAAACGTGTTATGTATTATGTGACCGAGAATTTTATTTAAAATATGATTATTTAAATCTTTATTATAATATGTAAACAGTTTTAAAGCAAATATTTGTTTCAAATTAACAGGCTGTTATAATATGGTAAAATTAATATTAAATGTAATATCCCTGATATTAAAAATAATTACAGTTAGACTATGAGAAGGTTTATCCGACCTTTTAATATTTGATTAAAATCAACAAGCAGAGTTTAGAGAATAATGCTTAAATTTTAGTATAGTTATAAACATTATTTCATTGAACACAAAGTACCATACCATAGCGCTTGCTTTCGCGGGAGGAAAATCCTTTGAAAACTTAATGAGTTCAACCAGGAAGAAGCCATGGTGAGGGCTCGACATCTGGTCCTTTGTGAGCTGATTAAACAGGAGACAAATATAGAATATTCAGCTCATCTTGAAGATTGATTTATAGACAATTTAAGTATAGTAATTTAAGTATCTAGACATTGTGACTACTGTAACAAGATTACCATACAAAATTGAATTCAAGACTTACGGCAGTGTGCATTTCATATAAATCAATTTCAGAATATCGATTTGTAATATCACAAGATAAACGACATACCTAGTTCTAACCATCGCGGCGCTGACATCTCAGATATTGAATTTTTGTTAAGTTCTATTTTGTTGAAATTTATTGTAATATTTCTATACTTCTATATAATTATCTTCGTTAATTTTATACTTTAATTCAGTTGAATAAAGTCTCTGTAAATATCTTTTTCTAGTTCACCTTCACTTACCTTCACTTTTTACATGAATATAAAACTTATTAGTTTTCTTTGTTTTACGTTTAGAGTCTTATGTTACAAAAAATGAATTCAAAGTTTTATTAAAGCTTCATATGTTATTATTACACGTTTGCAAGGCCACCCTAAAATAAGGTAAAAAATATGTCTTAGTAACCAAAATATTGTGTTTTTTTATAACGTCATGTAGAATATAAAAATGAAAGTTTACATATGACGAAACTTCTCAGCATTCCATGGATTCACCGTGCGGGTGCCGGGTCCATCGCGTTGCAGGGGGAGGAGCTTCAACAGTGCCTGGGACTTGCGACCCAAGTGTAGGTTTAAGGGGCCCCTTAACTAACGCGCGTTATACGCTCACCTCCACTGTCCAAGCTCCTCTCCCTACCTAACCAAATTTGAAAAGAACCTACTAGGGCTGCCTTCGATGTACGTTCCAAGAATGCATTAATGTGAGTTCTGGACAAGCCCAGGTCCTTTAGTAGGTTATAGAGAGATTTCGCTGTTATACCTCTCGCTCCCACCTCTACCGCGTACAAATCTACTACGAACCTATTTCGAGTGAGTTCGTTTGTGAGCTCGTAATATTTGTTGACCTTGATGGTATGGTCTTTGGGGATGTTGGTTTCCCAAGGGACCGTAAGCTCTATCATCACTACGCGCTTTAAAATTCGCGAAAACAAAAATATATCCGGTCTGGAGGCCGACGCACAAATATCCTCGGGGATTTTATATTGTTTTTCATACGTGTCCATCATTATAGTCCAATCCGACGCCGCTTTAAGGATGGAGTAAGGCTTGACGTTTGATTTTGTAGCCCTAGAGCCTTCTCTCACAAAACCTACTGATCGTTCGTTTGTGGTTATTCCCTTTTGCGCTCTGGCTACCGAAAGACTAACCGCTTCACGTATGACTTCTAGAACCCTATCGTGACGACGCGAGTATTGACCGCTGTCAAGGAGTACCTTACATCCCACCAGCAGGTGCTTAGCAGTTCCAACTGCCTTTCCACAGATATAGCAAGTTTTTTCGGTACTTTTACCCCATCTTACTAAATTACTCTGATCTGGGAGAGTCATCTGGAACGCATTGAGATAGAATTTTAGCAATGCTGGCGACCAATCATAAATTAAAGTGCGCCATTTTAATGCTAATGGGATGCAAAAATCTCCTATGTCTAACCACTCGTTTTGCATTTCTAAATTCATTGCATGGATCTTATATTTATCATTCTCGTCTTGCCGAATAAAAGACTTCAATATATCCGCATCTTGGACTTTCCTATTTGATCCTAACCCCGCTCTGTTACTTTGCGCTCCTATCATAAATTGCTTATGGAATTGAAGTCGTGACTCTAGCTCGGGGGCATCTTCATCTTTTGGGAGCGATGTCACTATGTCATCATGGGATTTCCCCAGGATATATCTCTTGGAAACTCTTAGGTGTTTATAGAGCTCCGATGGCCTTTTTAGACTCATCCCAAAACTATTGCTTCCCCTAAATAACGCCGATGAATCAGCCGTTAGAGCGAGCCCGAGCCACAACTTCAACATCTTTATGACGCCTGCATCTAACTTTGACAAAAGGGTTTTATTAAAATCATAGACGAGGAAAGGCCAATTCAAACGTGAAGTTAAGTAATTCTCGTAGATCCACGCTTTTTTGACGTTACTTATCAGTTGGCTATCTACCTTGTTAAGATCGTTCAAAAAGCTATCTACTATTCCTTCTAAAGATGGAGTACGGCCTATATTATCTATCTTACGACCGAGAAATTTAAATGGTGCATTTTCCGTAACCGTAGAAATGCATTGACCGCCTAACGATAGTCCCGGATCGTATGAGGTGTATCTTGTATTCCGCCTACCAAGACACAGACAGTGACATTTACTGGGTTTTGTCCTCAATCCATCCGTCCACTCACAGAATTTATCCACTTCATCCAATAGTACCTGACAGTGTTTGGGGTTACGTGTCAGTATTGCGAGATCGTCAGCGAAGGCTAAAATGGATTCCGTGTATTTATTATTAAACTTAAACCGATACCCCCATTTTTTCTCGTTACAGATTAATTTGTCTACTAAGATGTTAATTACGATATTAAACGCAATTGGAGATAGACAACAACCTTGAAACAGTCCTACATTATAACTCAAACTTTTTGAAGGGCCTTCTTTAGTTATTATAGAAAACCTTAATTTTGAGTAATACGACGCGATCATATCTCTAACTAGGGGTGGAAAGTTGTACCATCTAAGCGCGAATAGCATCAATTCGTGTTCTATCGACCCGAACGCGTTCTCCAAGTCTATCCAACAAACAGTGATTTGCCGCTCGCTTTTTCTAGCATCTTTTAAACTCTCCGACAGCAAGGTGTTGTGTTCTAAGCATCCAGAAATCCCGGGTAAAAACCCTTTCTGGTGATTTGGCCTAAAATAGTTGTTGCTGAGCATGAATCGCGTCATTCTCGTTTGTAGAACCGAGAAAAAGATTTTCGATATAGTATTTGTTAAAGCTATCGGTCTAGTATCTTTCGGATCAGTAACTCGATCTTTTTTGGGAATGAGGACAAAAATTGCTTTCCCGAAGGACTCCGGGATTTGCTTCCTTGACCAGATTTTACCGTATATATTTAGGAGGTGTTTACGAACCGATGCACATTTTTTAAAGACTATGTATGGGATACCATCGGGTCCCGGTGCAGATTTAGACGACTTCCTCTTGATCTGACTACTTAGTTCCTCTAGCGTTGGTGGAATGCCGTGGAATTCGATTCGAGGAAATTCAGGTTTTTGATCGTTTGGATCCCTATACCGTCTTAAACTTTTAGGCACTTCGTATGTGCTCTTAAAATGGTCGTAAATTTGATCGTTGGTCAAGAGAAGCTGTCCGCGTTCTTTCTTAAAAATGGTTTTCGAATACTCAAAAGGGTTTTTATCGAAATCTACTTCTTGTTTTGCCCGGTCAAAATTACCGCGATATTCTGCAGTTTGCGCCGATATTCCTTGGATTAATTTAAGGATTGACCTTAACGCCCTAGCTAGTTGATGACTAAGGTGATTGTCGCCTAGAGCTTTGGCTATACGTAGATTTTTTATTAATTCCCGTTTTTTCTTCCGCATTTTTAATTTGAACGAATTGTCTTTATTTTTGCGAGCATAACGATTACGTGGTGGATATTGCTCGCTAAAGTAGTCATAAACGGTATTTTGGAAAGTTTCTACCTGCGAGTTCAATTCCTGCTTCGAGCCCGGATGCTCTAACAGGACCGCTAAGTTGTCGTCATGAACTTTCCAAGTCGATTGTTTTAGATTAGGAATGCTAAGACGTGTCCTGATGTTAATGGACTCCTGGTGGTTTCCAGTTAATGGTTCACCATGGGATACATGAGGGTCAACTCTATCCGAAGTGAATGTTGTAGATCTTACCGACGAATGTCGTGCTTCAACCCCATTATGTGTTTTTAGATGTTTAATGTACCAGGCTCGTCTCTTGTAGTTTTTCCCGCACGTAGAGCATTTCAAGTCCGTATTCGCGCCGTTTTCGCCGTTAAAATCGACCGGTGGACAGTTCTTCCGCCCCCCCTCTCGGACTGTCCCAGGGGTATTTTTCTTCTTCGGACTTTTAGCTTTATGTATACCGGGTTGGGCTTGCTAGGCCGTCGCCCTCGGCTGTCTTTCCAGCAGTCATCCGTCTTTCCGGCAGTCATCCGTCTTTCCGGCAGTCAGCTGTCTTTCCAGCGTCAGCCCGACTCTCCGGGCAGTCGTTTTAAATAAGACGAAACTTCTCAGCATTCCATGGATTCACCGTGCGGGTGCCGGGTCCATCGCGTTGCAGGGGGAGGAGCTTCAACAGTGCCTGGGACTTGCGACCCAAGTGTAGGTTTAAGGGGCCCCTTAACTAACGCGCGTTATACGCTCACCTCCACTGTCCAAGCTCCTCTCCCTACCTAACCAAATTTGAAAAGAACCTACTAGGGCTGCCTTCGATGTACGTTCCAAGAATGCATTAATGTGAGTTCTGGACAAGCCCAGGTCCTTTAGTAGGTTATAGAGAGATTTCGCTGTTATACCTCTCGCTCCCACCTCTACCGCGTACAAATCTACTACGAACCTATTTCGAGTGAGTTCGTTTGTGAGCTCGTAATATTTGTTGACCTTGATGGTATGGTCTTTGGGGATGTTGGTTTCCCAAGGGACCGTAAGCTCTATCATCACTACGCGCTTTAAAATTCGCGAAAACAAAAATATATCCGGTCTGGAGGCCGACGCACAAATATCCTCGGGGATTTTATATTGTTTTTCATACGTGTCCATCATTATAGTCCAATCCGACGCCGCTTTAAGGATGGAGTAAGGCTTGACGTTTGATTTTGTAGCCCTAGAGCCTTCTCTCACAAAACCTACTGATCGTTCGTTTGTGGTTATTCCCTTTTGCGCTCTGGCTACCGAAAGACTAACCGCTTCACGTTAAATAAATATTTAAAAAGTTACCGTATTTCCTAGAGATTATAATGTTTTTATAAACATGACAACAATTCTTTGTAACAACATTAATAGGATTGAAATCACTTCTAGGAAAATTATATGAGACGTTACATCTTAGCATCCAATGGATTCTCCGTGCGGGTGCCGGGTCCATCACGTTGCAGGGAGAGGAGATTCAACAGTGCCTGGGACTTGCGACCCAGGTGTAGGTTTAAAGAGCCCCTATCTAAAGCTCGTTAAACGCTCAAATCCACTGTCCCAGCTCCTCTCTCTACCTAAACAAATTTGAAAATAATCTACTAGAGGCTGCCTTCGAAGTGCGTTCCAAGAATGAATTAATGGAGTTCTGGAAAGGTAAAAGTTTTTTATTATTAACATAAAATATAGGAAATATTTTTAATATTCTCCTGTTAAATATTTTAAATAGTACAAATCAAAATATTGATCCCAATGTATATAGCAATAAAAATATGCATGTAACAACTTTTTTAAGTAAAAAAGTAGAAAACTTTTATTATTGTACGAATTTTAAACATAGTTGACTCCGAGATTCAAATAAAAAGTAAAACACGAAAAACTACATACATAAATATATACATACTTCTAAAACCATTATTATATATGCTACAGAATGGAGACAATAAGTCGAGATATTTATTCATTTACTTTAACGCACGTACAGAATGAACAATGGGCGATTGTAATGAAAGCAAGCATTCCCTAACTTTAATAAGTAGAAAAAATAAAATTACTGGCTGTGACCAATTAAAAAACAAACAATAAAAGCTTTGATGGAAAAAAATAACGCTTTGTTAAATGACATAAATTTCTTTCTGTCCATTATACGTAGTTTATTCAGTAAAAATGCTTTACAGAGATAAAATTGAATGACGAATTGACTGTGATAAGTCATTTTATCATCAACAAGCTGTTAGAACAAACGTGTCATACATAAACCCAGTCGATGAACAGCGGCTTGAAGTAACACACTCTTTAAGGGCGGAGGCTTGTATTATGGACATTGGACAAAAACGAAAATTTTCATCCAATCACTATACTATGATAAGATAAACTGAATAAAGGAAACAAAGTATCCCAATTTTGCTACTGTTACGTACTGATAGTCAGTTTATTATCATGTCAGAGTCCTCAAAGAAAGATAACGTAAGCGACATGAATATTATATGAAGTAAATAAATTTCTATCCACTTCTTTCATTTGGACATCCCATCAAAATCCCATGTATAATAATATCGCAATAAAACACATTTGAGTTCGACCCAGTACTGCATCTGGCCTCTTAGAGGCATCCTTGGGACTGGTGTATTTCAAAAATGTATCGTGCCCGAACTACCCACCCTCTCCAGTAACTCTGTTAAGGCTAATACAAAGGATTATCAGCAATAGTCAAACCGAAATAAAAACAAATTAATGATGAAAGAGCTTTCAAAATCCTTAAGAAGAGTAAGTCTGAAGGACTAAGGTGGGTTTTTATTTATGTTCTATATTATTTTTTTATTTTATTCTGTGTTAAATGTTGAGTGTATTTTATAATATGTAATGTACTTCATTAAAATTGTGTTGTGTGTATTGGCGCAAAATTTGTTATAACACTAATGCGTGAGAGATAGTTACCAAAGTATTCGCCAAACTATTTTGATTGACCACTAAGTTCCTTTATTTATTGTTACTATGAGAGTATCAAACTC